CTCAGGCTGGTTTCAAACTCCTGAGCTCAAACAATCCGCCCGCCTCGGCCTCCCAGAGAGCTAGGATTACAGGCGTGAGCCACCGCACCCGGCCCATCCCTGACTCTTAAACACAAAATTTTAAATGCTCCTTTCATTCTGACATTATCATCTCTATCCATGTTCTTGCAAATGCCATTATTTCTTACACTCAAGATCCCACTGTACTTTACTAAATAGTAATACATCTAAAGAGATCATCCTAATCCTACTTCCATATTCTCATCAAGTCCTGAGTTAAGGAAAAAAGAAACTGCCGTGTCTTTCTCCCAACCTTGATCACAACTTCAATCCTCATCGTGCCTCTAACCCTCACTGCATATATTAGGTGTTAGAGAGAAAGAGAAACAAGCAGTGGAAAGACTAGAAAGACAGAAGAGAAAGTGGGAGTCGGAGGGTGGAGGAATGACCCTGAGGATTTCAGGTTCAGGATCCTGGAATGTGGAACAAGGAGACTTAAGGCTCCCAAGGGAACCAGCCTCCTCTTCAACAAATGAAACCAAATCCAACCAATGAAACTTCTCCACAAATGAAACCAAACCATCTTTTTTCTCTCAACTCCCTAGGTATTTCAGGGAAATGCATCACTCTTGACCAAATTAAATTTTTTTTTAAGCCATCACAATATAATTTGCTAGGGTTAGATTTCACCTATCTTTCCACCCATGGCTTATCACTATAAACAAATATGACAAATGTTTTCATATGTCAAATATGACAGTCATTGATAGTATCAATATTGTAAGTAAATCTTCCTTAATGCTATAATATTAATGTTTATATTACTAGGTGAAAATAGCCATTTGTATTTGTATTTGATAGAAATTAGTACCATTTATATTTGGTCTTTATTTTACCCAGTTTAGTTAACTCCAGAACAAATAAAATTTCTGTAGTCATCTGTGGAAACCTCAACATTTCAACATGAATGTCCATGATGACCTTATGGCGTACTGGAAACAGTACTTCATGAAAAGCTAGGGAACTGATGGAGGATGCCAAAGTCCTCCTGCTTAGGGTAGGGTTTTCTTTGGTTTTAACCTCTCATCATTGTTCATCAGATTTGTTTATTGAGAGGATTCACTTCTTGGAGGGTTGGAAAGATAGTTCCTAAGTCAGTAAATTCTGAAATGATACAAACCCACAGCATTCTCCAATGACCCTACAGTCCTAATATTATAAGGCAGGTGCTGTGTGTTAAGATGAGCCTCAAAGTGACCACAGGATCCAATAAATGCCACTGCAGTCGAGCGTGCAAACCCCGGATCCCCACATATCCAACAAGAAGCTATTTGTATAAGTAGTTCCTCTGACTACAGTTGAGTTATGACAAGGTTAGGAGGATATAAAACCTTGCCAAAGCACACATAGAGGAAGAAAAATTATTCTTTTCAACTAGTAGATGGAAAGAACCAGGGCCCACTGGTTTAGGCTGCCAGGCTTGTTCAGCTGTATAAAGATTGCTATTAAAACTGACGTCACAGGTTTGGGGAAGTAAACATGCTTTTGCTATGTATAACAAAGACCAGTCAAGTGTCACCAAATGAAAAGTTCTAAAATATCATATTAGACAATAGAAAATATTTCATTTAGAGGAAAAAAAAACCTATAATTTTATTCCAATAAAACCTTTGCTACTTACTACTCTCATTTTATTTCTCAAGGTTAAGACTTCTCATGCTTTTAAAACTGAAGTTCTAATTGATGTTCTAGAAAATAACTAAAGCCTGAAAAATGACTTTACACATAACAGGAATTTCCACTTACCACTCCTCCAAAATATTTCCCTATGTAGAAGTCATCAAGGCTATGCAGTTCAAGGTAGGTAGCTCCTAATTCTTTAGCAAGTTGGATCCCTTCGGTTGTACTAACACAGCTCCCTCTATCTGAGGTACATAGTGGGCACGTACAAGGTAATTCTTCTGAGAAAACAAATTTGAAAACAAAGAGCTTTGAAATTAAACAAAAAAAAAAATGTAGACAATCTGAACATTAAATAACAAAGAGCTCATACCAGAACCACAGTACAAGAGCATTCAGTACATCCACTATCCACTAGACTCTGAATAATAAGTGTCAATAAAAATACAAAGGTCCCTAAATAAACAAGCATGAGCTGCAAGAAGAATAAATACTATTTTACAAAACAGAAGAATTGAAAAATAGGTGAATGAATATTTTCAAGGCTAGTATACAAATTAGACCAATCAGCCAGTAATGGTGGGCCTGTCTCTTTCTACACAACCTTGACATCCAGAATATCAGTATCTCTAGGCAGGTAGAAAAAATTACAAATTTAACAACTTGCTTGCCACAGAAAGCATTGAAAACAGTGGACTGGCACTTTTTCTGCGGTAAACTTGAAATATATTTACAAAGTTTGAATAAACCTTATAGTTTCATTTTAATAAAACCCTCAATTTGACCTGATTTTCAAGGGTTCAAAATTGTCACTCCCTTTGTAAATTTCATAGACGTGTATTCTTATTAATGCATACATTTCAATCATTAGACTCTAACGCATTCAACTTCAGAGACCAAATTCACTCTTTATTTTTTCTTTAAAATTAAAAA